TGCGCGCCAAGTTGAAAAAGCCTCCGCAAAAGTTCAGTAATATATTTATAGCTAAATTACAAGATGGTTTATAACACTTCAGTATTTGTATAGGTAATAGCATGATTTGTAGTGATATTTGGCATAAAGGGCCACAAGTGATATTTGAAAATTGTTTTACGTAATTTCACGAGCCGTTAAGTGAGTGAAATTTGAGACAATTTTGAAATATCACAGGTGGTAATAATGCCAAATATCACGTACAAATCATGCTATTATTTGTTTTATATAGTACTGAATCACTATCACCCACAAAAGGTTTGTAATTTTCACATGTAGGTATTTCAAATAATCCTTCAGGGCTTTGCTTTCTTGTGCAAATTAGGGCTTTTGTTATCGTAACCTCACTGGGATTACCAAATTAAAATATGAAAGGAAAAAGGAAAAGGATTCTGGTCGTAAAATAACGTCATCGTGCAAATGGCCTATTAAACTGAAATACCACTGCTCTAAGCCAATCAAACTGCAGAAATTTCTCATGTAGTAGTATAAAATTTGAAATTATGTGAAATACGACGCTTGAACTGGGCCTAAGCAATGCTCTCGTATACAGCTATTTCGAGAGAGGTTTTCGAAAGCGCACGCGACAATCCCGAAAGGCATTGTGGGTGGTTTTAAGTTCTCTGTTCTTCAAAGAAATTTGAAAGAATTGGTACGAAAGGCCGTGGAAATATGTTTGAAAGTGCTAAAGGAAAGCAACAAAAGTTGGTTCGACAGCTACAGTCGTCAAGAACAGTGTATTGATTATATCCCATATTACCTTTCGGGATTGTCGCGTGCACATTTTTTCCGACAACCTTTCTCGAAGTAGCTGTAAACACTAGGAGCAAGTTCCATGGCCGCGTGCGGACGAAGATTAACTTAAAAAATACCTTAACACGTTCGCAAGAAATTGACTTTGGTATAAATTTTCGACAAAGTCATCATTGTTTGGTCTTGTTTTTTTAAAGTCGGCTACTTTTGTGTGCAACTGGTACAAAAAAATTGGAGTTCTTGAAACAGTACTGTAGTCAATGCAGAATTGTGCAACTGACTCTACGACTGGTCAACATGTAAGCTAACTCTTAACATTAGTAAATCCAACTTTGTAATCTTTCATCCTAAACAGAAAGGCTTAATTATAAACCTAAAATATGTTTATTTGACGACGAGAAAAATGAATATACTACTCTTGAATCTAAGGATTATATTAAATATGTTGGCATTTTGATTGATAAAAACCTTGCCTGGAAACATCATATTGATGCTGTTTCTTTAAAAATCAGTAAAACGATTGGCTTACTTACAAAATTGCGTCTCGTTTAATTTCTACTTTTTAATACAAGTTGTTATTCATTTGTTAATTCTTTCTTCGGCTCTATCTTGATATCTAGTCCTCAACCATCGATTTTTATTTCTTTTACTTGTCAACTGTAAACTTTCCTTAGCTAGCCTTAATCTTAGTTTCTTATTTTGCACGCACTGTCCCGCCTTGAATAGCCTTGCTAGCCGCGGGCAGTGCTTCTGTTACATCCTCTGCTTATTAATAAAGGTTGTTGTCGTCGTTGTTATAATTAGTAATGACGACTATTCAAACTGAATGACGCAGGTCGGGAACGTTTGCACAACAACAAAAAAATATACTGAATCAAACCGCGTAAAGTGAAATCTGCTGCATTGATGTGCTTGGATTCAGCACTCAAAGATAATATAATGATAATAATAATAATAATAATAATAATAATAATAATAATAATTATAATAATAATAACAATAATAATAATATTAATAATAATAATTTAAATTGCTCCGCGAAAGTTCCTACTGAAATCCCATTTAAAAGATAACGATTTCTGTGATCAGATCCTATAATACGCCCATTTTAGTATTTGGAGCTTATTTAAGTTGTGGATAAATATACTCTGCTTATACCAGTTTCATATATTTGAAATTAATGCGAATATTTTTTTAGCCGGCTTCTTTGGTAATGGTATGTTAAGCGATAAAAAAATATCGATCTCTTTCTTTAACATAGAATTTCATACGTTCTGATTTTACTTGAAGCAAAATTATTTATTAGTATTTTAGCAGACCTTTTTGTCTGTTTTTCTAGGAATCCAACAATCGATTGTTTTTTGTAAGAACGTCCGTTCAAAGAAGTAAATATTGTCTCGAAATTAGTAATCTATAACTCGAGAAAGGACGACTGAACTTCTACATGACCGTTACCATTAATCTAAGAGCGCTTTTCATTTGGCAGAACTGACCGGCCAAACTCTTCCCGTCGTAATTTGAATTTCACTATTAATCCAGCCAGATCAGTCAAATCCTAATTAGTGTGCAGGAAGGAGATGGTTTTTCAGCAAAAACCCTTGAAAAAAAGCCGATTGCCGTCCGGCAATGGTCCGGCCGGCCAGTTCTGGCATACAGGCTGGCAATTGGAACTTGAGCGACCTAAGAATTCCAGGGTTTTCCTATTAATCACCCTACGGTTCTTGGAAGTTTGGATGTTCACGTTTTTCTCCCCATTTTGGGCATTATTCATAGATAAGGACTCCTTAAGTTTTTGGTCTCAAAAATGATGACGGAAAGTAGTACTTTGTATCAGAAAATCTCACGTTTTCCGTGCTACGTCATCACCTGTACGAAAACGTGTGACAAGCGATTATCCTGGAGTTTCGGGGAAAAAATGCGAAAAAACTCCTAGTAAACTCGAAAAGCCTAGGATGACTGAACAAATAATTAGCCCAGGTTTCGAAGCATTTGAAAGAAATTGCCGTTGAGTTTTCCTTACTGTATTTCTGTTCATCGGTTTCTTTCCTTGATCGTTCCAAAAGCTCAATATCTATTGTTTTGTCTTGGCTGTTGTTTTCGAGATTTTTACCTCACATTTTTCACATGTTTTTCGCTTGGGTTAGCCACAGCAGCTTGTATCATTTTCCGGTGTCAGATCAAGAGAGCTGTTCTTGCATCCGCTAAAAACACACCGAAAGCTAGGAGACCCAGGAGAGAGGTCCGAAGATCTCCCGAAGTTTTCCGAAGCTGCTGACTTAGTTTTCAGTCCCCACGCGAGGCTTCGACACCAGTTTCCTTCAACACTCTGACTAGACTCTGACAGTTGTTTATGACCGAAGAAGACCTTCATAACTTTACAGCTGTTGTCAACACAACACGTTAAAACATGGAAGCGGCGAATTAAACCGTTATGTAAAATGTCTCATTTGCAGGCAAACGCAGATAGTATGCCCCGATGTCTCTCCGATTCAAAACTGGACGAAGCTTTTGCGGCACACGGGCAAAGCGGACATCGATTTGGAAGGAAAAGCTTCACTCGTCCAACCTACTGTCACCACTGTACTGATCTACTCTGGGGTTTGACAAATCAAGGACTTATATGTGAAGGTAAAACAGCCCTACAATGTTTTACGTCTTAGATCAACTCGTGGATGAATTCTTAAGTTTGCGGTCTTTGGGTTTATAAGTAAAAACAGTTCATGGGAAATGTCGATTTTGTGCTCTGCCGAAAATAAAAGCACGACGTCTTCGATTATTCTTTCTTAAAAACGGCGAGTTTATAATTTTGATGACCTAGCCACAAACATACATCGCCTATGGGTTTGGCACTTGGCTTAATTTATCTGGTTATTTTAAAGCCTTACAGTTAATGTACGCTAAAAATTTATTTTCTCGTTTGTCAGTGCTTCTTAAAAGTTTCGTGACTTGTGGACAATCGGATGGTATCTGTTCGATTTTCCGTTCGACTTGTCAGTTCGAAGTTAAGTGGCTCCTCATTAAGTTCAAAGAGATTTAAGTTATGGTTTTGCAGATGCAAAAATAATTCAGACTTCCCACGGATATTAAGAATTATTGTTTTATGCTGATATGCGCAATGTTCTGAATGTTTGCGCTAAAACATCTGCTATGATATACATGTAGCCTACTGGTTTCATTCCTATTTATAAAGTGAAGCTCTGCATGCAGACATTAAAATATTAACAGCTTTGGTTATGTCTTATGTAGATAAAAAAGTTGTTTTGATAAATTTGGCTCTTTTTTGTAGGCTACCTTAGGTTATCTTATTTTTTTCCTTGTCAATTGAAAATTCAAAATGAAATACAACCTTAATTTTTTACTTACGTCATAAATTTTGAAGCCTTCCGATTCATTTTAGTATGACGGGTTTGTAGGTTTCTTTGAACATTTTATTTCAAATTTTAAAACATTAGATGCAAATGGTAGAATATAATCATTTTTATTATTTTGTCCAAATTAAGGTTAATGACATTTTCAAACATAATAGATAATTACATGTATTAAATGTCAGGTTTCTTAGGCCCAGTTCAAATGTTGATCTTTTCATGGACTGAACATAATATCTATTTCAACGGTTGTCTCAGGCGTCGAACGTAATTTGTTAGTTGGGTTCAATTCATTTTCAGGATGTTCAATGGTCTAAATTGCGTACAAGTGAAAATAAATTATAGTAATTTATGTAGTAGGTTTGGCATTTGAGAAGTTTGATGTTTGAAACAAATTTGCTCCACAGTTGTAATTCCCAGGTGGGCCACTCAATCTTAATTCATGGGTCGACCCAAATAAGACATGTCAGACTTAATTGATTCAAACGTAGATCTCTTCATGTTCTTAATTGAAGGGATTAGGTTCGGTACACAAAAAGTTTGACAATTGAACTTGGCCTTACCTACTTAGTGTACAGTTGACAGGAATATACTACTGACAGAAAACAAGATGCTATATTTTTTAATTGAGTCTGTGGAGAATCTGTTTCCCTTTGTTTGAAAAAATTGAAAAATGGCCTAAAATTATAGTTTGACTCCTTCTGTAACAGATGCTAATTTTTCATCAAGATGTTTGAAAAGAGAGGGTTACTGAATCTTTGGAATCAATAATGTCCTTGCCGTAAAAGAATGAATAATGTCTGACTGCCCTGAATGATATTTTGGGAGCTACTGCACTACCCTAACCCTGAGAGTACCAATGTCAACTGGGGATAGGTGTGTGTCATTAATGTTCTTAATGTTTAAATCAAAATTGTGAACACCAGAAATCTTTCTTGAATGATTTTTCGTGTTACAGTGGGACCTGGATATATTAAATGAACCTCTATATAACAAGGTCCTCGCTATAGCGAACAATTTTCTTTACCCCAGTAATAATAAAATTTATGAAAAAGAACCTTGATATAAGGAAACCTCGGCAACGTGAACAAATTTTGTTGGTCCCTCCACCCTTTGTTATATTGAGGTTCTACTGTACAAGGAAAGAGTCAATCAGGCCTGGTAAGGAAAGTAAAGGGCAAATAGCAACAGTGATTAGTCTGTGCTTTTGTGATTTGTTTGCTTGTCCTTAAAATCAACATTCTTGAGACCCTGAGGAGGGTGGGGGGTACTTTAGGAATGTCTGGGCAGGGATGACAATCCTCCAAGTTGCGACCATTTTGGTTGCCATGGCGCCTAAAATTTTGGAGCTGGCGACTTGATTTGTAAAATGATCTCCCTAAACCAAAAGAGTTGGTTGCCATATGGCAACAAAGCAAAAACTTTAACTTCTAGGGTTGGATGAAATGCAGGGACCTGGTAACCCTTAAAACCTATACCATACTTAGTTGGGCTGAATTTTGCTACACAAAACTAGACAAAACACACAAAATTTCTCCCTATCCTAGTGTTGCTATTTTTTAGAAATTACTGAGGTTGGTGCTCTCTTTGCTATTAAACTGATTTGTGGGGTAGGATTTGCTGATTTCATTTTTACAAGTGTCTATTCCTGATTTCCCAAATGTAGGCTAAAATTGGTGTCACCCAATAATATTATTGATCAGTTTCCTGGAAAAAGATTCCTTATTCTAAACCCAAGCTCTCTGATTTTTATACCCTATCTCAGACTAGGGGTACTTGAAAACCATACCCTTTTACAGTGGCACATATCTATATATGCCCAGTGTTCTCACCAGGATTTTGCCTTGGGGAGTCCCAGGGCCCCCTCTTCTGAGAAATAGGGGCCCTGTAAGAACATTAGGGGGACAAAGTTACTCGTGTCAACAAAAAACACGCGGTACGAAGAACCTGAGCCCACACTCCAAATTGTCTGTTACATGAAGTACCTACCTGATCCAATATGGTGGAAGAGGTGTTTACGATTCGGAGGAGGAGTTTACGATGTAGTGGGACGTGCGTGGGACCAATGAAAGTAAAGGCAACAAAATTAAAGACTTTGAATCATTTGATATCATGTTATTTATTTATTCAAACAAACAGAATGCTTTAGTGTTAGGTTGACCATTAAAACTACTTAAGTCCGTTTGACTCGTAGGTTGCCCCTGCACCCTAATGGGTGCATCTTCTTGGTTTTAATGCGCCATTTCAGTTTTTCTTGCGGGAATCCTGCAAGGCTGCGGCCTGGTGAGAACACTGTATGCCATATACAGCAGTAATCTTTTGAGACTGCCTGTGACTGTTTTTGAGAAAATAGAGTTGAAAACATTATCTTTGTTTGGGCCCAAAACAAAATACTTACAAGACTTTGGGAAGAGGTGAATCTATAATAATAATAATAATAATTAAGAATTTTTATTGCGCAGTTTTCATGACGAGATGATCAACTGCTCATTTAATACAACAATACACAGAATAAAATAACTAAATGATAAATAAGAATTACATCATGTGTTATATAATATCAAAAAACCTAACTCAAAGAATAAAACGCCTTACTAATAGGTATGTCTTTAAAAGTTTTTCTAAAAATAAATAAAAATTACATAAATAATAATAATAAATCTATACTATCTGTACAAGATGCCTGTTAGCATTAAGGTTCACACTGTTATACACTGTTTTTATGCTAGAGACCTTAAAGGGGCTATGACACAAGGCTTTTGCTGTTTTAGTTCAATTCTGTGCTGGAATCATTATACCTTTACTTACATGTATAGAAATTAATGTTCCTGTGGAGTTGTGAAGATGATTATGAAACAAATTTCATTGGGGAGCATTAACCATAATAAAATGTTTTGGTGATTTTTGCAGGCTCTTTAGAACTTGAAAAGGTTGGCCCAACTTTTTAAAGTTTTAATCCATGTCCATCTTTGCCATGTGTTGCAACAGACGACAGTAAACAGTTTCAATGCCCAGATATGGTCTTAAATAAAAAGACTGGAGCATTGGTTTTGAAATTCAGTTGACGTGAAGAAGAAGACTTTAATGTCAAAAGCTGCAAATAAAACAGACATACAACATCTGACTGGGGTACATTTATACCCAACTGAACAACAACTAGAGCCAACTGGGAAGAGTAATGGCTCTAGTGTAAAAACAGCCACTGATACATGTACTAACCATCCTTGGCATCCTTAAGAATTTAAATCTCCTTATTTGATCTTTTTTTAGTTTGCAATTTTGTGAGTCATGAGCGTTGCATGCAGCTTGTTGTAACTCCTTGCATTTCCATTGCAACATCTTTGGTTAAGGTTAGTGAAGATACTTTTTTTATTTTTGTTGAGGTGTGATGTGATTTCAGGAGAGATAGTTTTATTAAAAGTGATAGATATATACCTACAATGGGAGACAAATTTGTTGACACACTGTCCTCAAAGGGGGTAAACTTTGGAGAACAAAACAATCCACACCAGTTCCCTCTCCCCTACATTCAAAGTTGAGGAGTCTGCAGTAGTTTCTTACAGGCACAGTAGCTCGAATAGCAGCACACCATTCAATGGTGGGGAGGGGAGGGAAATCCCTCAGTGAAAGGCCCTTTAGGACATAGAATCTCAACTAATAGTTACTTATTCCACAGGAACCCGTAGCACACAGTTGGAGTGGGCCTTCATTTTATCGAAGGCGATTCTGCTGCGTTTGTAGGAAAAGACTTGAAGAACATGCAGCATTTAGATGTCAAGGTTAGTCAAGATATTAATTTAAGCACAAACAACCCCTTAAACAGGTAACCTTGTTCTACTTACGCACAGTGCCTGCAGAATGTAAATAAAAAATGATCTCGACATATCTTTTTGATGGCCAATTCATGTGGCAAGGATGTTTAAAACCTCTATGCATTTTCACTTGCTCTCTGCATTACCAGCAAAGATCTCATGAAGTAAAGAAGCAAGCATAAAATAAAGATTTTCACCCTTAATTATATCAGACAGTATCATCACTGGTTATATACAGTTGTATTGTATATCTTACCCCTGACAGCCCTGACCATGGATAGTAATTAAATTGTACAAAATAATAAGTGATAATTTTCAAGCTGGGGATCTAGATTACTTACTAAAAATATCCTGAATTTTTTTAGTTTGTGATTATTTTACTCATGAAGACTGTAAGGAGTTTAGTGTCAGTGACTGCAAGAAATGTGCTTCGTATTCTCCACACGTTCCCAAGGTAATTTGCTAAAACGTTGTGATACACTGTGATGTTTTCTTCTTTTAATGGTATTTTCCTATGCATATTTCAAGGATGTGTGTTGCACTTAAGTAAACATTGTTAAGTGCAGGTGCAAAATCTGAAGACCTTTTTTAATGTTGTGGGGAACATAACCTACAGTAATCAGGCGTTTTTCTCATTTTTGAGGAGCTACCCCCCTGTTACAGTGCTCCAAGCTTTACTTAATTTTTTCAAAGTCACCTTGTGGTGACCTAACCTTATAAAATGGTCACCAGAAAAAAGGGACACTTTGAGCAACACTACATGAGCGTTTGAAAGAATCAAAATGGCTGCCCAACTATTGCAATCGAATTTGAAGGCGCACGGGACATCTCAAGGTGTAAAATAACCAGAGAACCAAGCTGAAAATAAGAAAATTATTGAGAAAATAGAGCATAAATGATATTTAATGCAAATTTCTATCTCTCTTTAACTTTAAAAGACCATAAACTCTTACTACTAGAAAAATGCATCTCACAAAATTTCGGGAATTTCTTGGGAATAGCTTGGCACGTGATCGCTGAACACAGGTCACCAAATTGGCGACTTTCATGGCAATTTTAGTTGCCAAAATGTTTTTCACTGCTATTATAAAAATGTTAAGAATCGGTTAGTGTCACCCTTATTGTTTTACTTTACTCCAACAGAAGTTAATTCAGCAATCTCACCACTGGCGAGAAGGAAACATATCTCCAAGTGCAAAGTGTGCATACTGTAAAAGAACTTGTGGAAGCATTGAATGTCCAGCAAGTATGAAATGCAGCTGGTGTGGACAGTCGGTGGGTCTTTGCTTTCCTGGGTACTATTCTTGAGAAAGGGACAGGTGTCATGTTAATGACAGTTGTTGTGTAAAATTGTGAAACCTGCGGAGCACTTAAAAGTTCTTAAGAACTCGCTGAAACATGACCCTGTGTTTGAGATTGGAATTTGGAAGTTTTAGTTTTCAACAAGAGTAGAAAAACGGAGAACCAGGTGACAAACCTGTTGGAGCAAGTGAGAGAACCAATTAACACCCATATCTGTCGGATGTGGTAGCATGTGCTTCACCAGCGTATGGTACCCTTGTTTTGAAATGTTTTCTTAAGATGTAGTGAAGGAGAGGCGTTATTTGAATGGAGTGCATTGTTTTAAGAGACCAGTGTCTCGGGGATAATAAATTTATACTTGGTTTTGTGGGAATAAAACAAAGAAAGGGCCAGCTCTTATTATTTTATCCCTGAACCTCACGGTGATATCTTCTGTTTTATTTGCCCAAGCCTTGAATCTAAGAGTGAATTTAAGTGTATTGAAATTACTTGAAAGTTCACTGGTAGTGGCTCTATTTGGCAGGTACATTAAAACACAAGTCACAGGTCACAAGTGGAGGTTACTGCTCTATTGTTAAATGACTGACTAGATAAACACTTTTCTATATTGTGATTAGGGCTAGAAAACTCTTGTACTGTTGTTTATTTACTGAAGCATGGTGAGCTGGCCCCAGTTGCTTGAAAGCAGGATAATGCTGTCCACCGGATAAATCTCTATCCAGAGGATAGTGCAATTAGTTTCCCTAATATCTATCTGGTGGATAGTGATTTATCCACCAGGGGCCGGTTGCTCGAAGCCTGGTTAGCGCTAACCGTTGGTTAAGAGGTATCAAAATGTATAGGTTTCCATGGTATTTAACGCTGGTTAGCACTAACCATGCTTCGAGCAACCTGGGCCAGATAGATTTTTGAACAACCGGGGCCTGTACTCTAACTTGCTCTTGTGACCTGTGCTTTGTGCCTGAGCACTATGGCTCCACTTCTAATTACTACTCTGGGAATAGGATGGAGATTCATTAAAATGCAGTCGGTGGCCCCAGGTCAGGGCTGCCGGGGGCTGGGGATTTTCCCCGGCTACTTTGAGTGTGGCTGCCGCCTACTTTCATTTGGAAAAAGGAAGAAAAATAGAACCAAAAGAAATCCCTAGATGTTTGATTCCTCGCCTACTTTTTGTATTTACGTGGCAACTTGACTCTTAGTGACAACCCTGCCTCTGGTCTGTTGTTGTCGGCAACTGGGAAATAGTGTAAGTGAAGGACTTTCTTGGGATGCCGTTACTCTTTCTTTTGTTACTGGTGATAGTAGACATGCCAACCTCTGGAGACCTAAAATCGGCAAACTGTCTTTTTTTCTTCCCCCCCCCCCCCCCCCACTTCACCACCCCCCCCCCCCACCCTCCCCCCCCCCCCCCCACGTCCTGACCTTATGAACCATATTACTTACTCCACTATTTCCAACTACCCATAATACAAAGACTATTCAACACACTTGACATTACACTCCTTTCCTACTCTGCGCGGCGTATAGCTAAATAGTGTAAAGGAAGGAGTTTCTTTTGGGGCCTTTTGTCTTTCTTTTTTTTGTGGGGATAGTATGGAAGGCAACCTCCGGGGGGCAAAATTTTGGAAAATTTCTTTTTTTCTTTCCCCCCCCCCCCCGGAATTTCAACGACCCCCTGCCAAAAACTTGACCCATCCCCCAATGGGAATGACTTAGGACATTATATGACGTCTTACATGATGTACATACTATCAAAATTCGAAATCTTTGTCAATGACTAAAGACGTGCAAAAATGCCCCAAAAACCGTACTGCGAATAAGAAAAATTCAAGTTTTGAGCTAAAAATGGGCTAAATCTCAAACTATGTCTGTTTTATTTTTTACTAAGTATTCAATAATTATAGTGGACGTAAAAAGCGGGAGATTTATGAACCAAGGCGGGAGAGCGGGAGACGAGGCAAAAATGCGTAAGTCTCCCGCCAAAAGCGGGAGAGTTGGCATCACTGTGATAGGTCCTTGGAATGGTGCCACTTGAGAGTAATTGAAGAATTTCGTTAAGATACTTAACTATCTTGGGTAGTTTTATATAGTCCCTGGCTAGCTATAAGTTTTAATGTTTTTCTGTTTAATATTCACACAGGCTCACAGCTCATGTCATTTAATGTTGCCTAAAGAATGTGGATTTGGTTATCTTCACAAGCTTGTGCTGCCTCCGTATGCTGTATCAATGCCAAATTTAACTTTGTGGAGTTCCTGTTCTCAGAAACGAAGTAGAACTGCTACATTAGGTTGTTTACATTTTTTGTTTACTTACAACACAATGATATATTATATTTAAATTTATGAACTAATTAAAAGGTATTGAAGGTACAAAGTAGAACCTGCATGTGATAGATCAACTGTTCTACTATGAAATTCTTTAAATCACTTCGATAACTCTATCCTTAAATTGAAACCTACAGTGTACATGATATAAAGAAAGTAAAAAAGAAAAGATTCATTTTTGTTTGATTTGTATCTAAATCAGTATTTTTTGGTGAAAAGATTGGACTAATATGGAATGAAAAGTTGACTTTGGCCACCTTCGATTTGTGTGACAAATTGTAACACTGACACCGTAAAAAGCAGGAAAAATGGTACAGTTAATCAAAAGTGCAAGTCAATTATTATTTTTTTGCATGTCAAAGATGTAATACTTTCAACAAACATTGTTACCCTGATTTTGAGAAAAAAGCCGACTGTTTTGCAGTCTAACAATGAAGAACTTTGCTTTGCCTTTGACTTGAAACAATGTTCCTAGCACCTTTGACAAATTGTAAATTATGCAAAGACAGCCTTTACCATCAAGAATTATTATGCCAATGTAGGGGAAGTAAAAGTAGCCTTTATGACCTGAGACCAATGCATGACATACAATGTAGCTTGACAGTAATGTAAATTGATTGATTAATTAAATCCATCACTTTGCTTGTGAATGATGGGTACAGATCATCATAATTTGTACGTTGCAAAGAGTACTAACAGTTATACATTACCAGAGATACCAACCTCTGGAGATCTAAAATCTGGAGACTCTATCTCTTGCACTAACCCCCTCCCTAAATGTCCACAAACCCCACCCCCACCCCACCCCACAAATTGACTCAACTGTCAGGGAAATGGTTTAGAACATTATATGAACTCTTACATGAGGTACATACCATCAAAATTTGCATTCATCATTGTAATGACGAAATAGCCTTTGTGCTAAATACTTGCAAAAATTCCCCAGAAAAAAAAAAGTAGGCTAAAGTCCAAAGTAAAGCACAGAAATACTCACCAGTCGATTTATTCCGGGAGATTTGGTGACCCGTATGGGAGAGTGGGAGATGGGTGCTGTATCCAGGAGACTCCTGGATAATCCGGGAGGGTTGGCATATATGCATTACCTACATATTTGTCAGTTTTACATGTAACATGTTGGAAATTTGTTGTTTAATTATTTTGGCAGGAAATTCAGATGAAGATGATGGCATAGTTCCTGATGATCCCATGCAGAACACAGACAATACCAGCAACTTAAACTGTGACTCTGGTAGATAATAATCCATAATTTCAAGATAGCTAGGTTTTTACTATGGGTTCCCTGGATGACTGTTCATGAGTAGGGTTTCCTCTTCGCTGATTGTGACTTCGGCCTTTGGCTGAAGATCTCTCGGCCTCCAACACTGAAACATCCAGCTGCAAACGAGCGTGAAAACCTCTGGTACCCAGGGACTGGGTACTAGGTCTTTGGTTTACCCATGCAAAACAAAATTACCCTCCTTAACTTTATGCTCAAGGAAAACGTATCTTCCATGACAGTGCATTTGTGAAAATTGTGATAACTCAGCCTCCAGGTAATTATTCCTGGACTATAAATTTGGCTAGGTTTTCAGTTAAATTTCTCATACTGAGATACTCTGTATTTGCCATCTTTAACTTTGAAAGTACTTTGCAGTACAAAATGTAGATATTGGAGATCGGAATTGTGTTCAATAGTGTGAGTATAAGACAAAAGGTCAAGGACTTTTGCATCACAAACGAGTGATTCTATGGTTGATGCTCTTTTTTCAGATAAAACTATTTTGAAGATTTATGATGGTGAAGTAGCAGATCCAAGACTTTGCAAAAACATCGAAATTCCAAGAACTGCCCAGGCTAGCAATGTTCTTGTAAGTATTGCAAAGATTAAATAACAGCACCACAGGAAAATAGTCCTCAGTAGCTTTCATTTGAATGGTCATACCATAGGAATTCATCCACTGTCTCAAAAGTAATATTGTAGTATAAATTGTCATTTGTTTACCAACGAACCACCCAGGAATCTTAAACACACGTTCAAACGTGTCCGTGCTCACGTGTGCTTTACGGATCGAATTGGAATTTGGAAATGTTGGTTTTTGAGGAAAGGGGAAAAGCGGATTAGCCGGAGAAAAACCTCTCGGAACAAAGGAGAGAACCAACAACAAAATCAACCCACACATGGTGTCGACGCCGCTTTAATGTATATTAGTTATAACTAACGTACGCTAATACGTGTCTGCGTATTTGAAATGTACCATGGCTCCCGGGGTCCTTTCTTGAATATCTAGATTAAACTGTATTCATGTTTTTTAAAAAAAGATGCTCTCTGCGTTGTTGTAGTTTCACTCTTAATTTTCACATGATTTAGCAAACAAAAATCTCTGGCATGCGTATTTTGGATATAACGAGGTGTAATTATTAGTTATATCACTCATTGAATTTATTAATCGAAGAATAAAGTCAAAGTTGTCTTTAATAGCCTCGTCTTTTCCTTTCTCTTCACTGAAGTGCCTTCCACGCAGGATTTTGTTGAAGACGTGTATTTCACACATTGCTGTGTTTTACAGCATTCAGTAATAATTTTTTTTTCTTGACGAAACTTTCAGGAAGAAGCATTAAAAAAGTTTCATATCACAGACGACCCTAAAAATTACTACCTTGCAAGGGCCCTGGATCAAGGTATTGATAGCATGCTTTAATTTAACTATTCTTCTTCTAGTAAGAGTTTAATATGGCGTGGATTCCGATCCAGATTTGTTAGTGAAAAGGATCCTGCGGGGATTTTACTTCGACTGGCCAGGATCTGACCCCAGCTTCAAACCCTTTACCCTTCTGTTTTGCCCTTTTGAAAAAGTTATTTATGTTAAATTTGTTTTATACAAAACACCTAAGAACCACGATCTCGTTTAACTCCTGCTTGTGCGTTACAGAATAAAGTGGAAATAATGATTGTTAAGGACAAAGGAAAACCAACTAGGTGAGGTCTAGAACAAGGATTTTGGTTCTGTTTCGCAGACGGGCTTAACCAGAATTTAGCTTCGTCTGTGGCGCAGGCCATTAAGAATCAAAGAGCGCAAAAATATATCAGTTTGGCTACGCTTCGCCACGTGCAGTAAAATAGGGCCACACCTTTTTGAGGGTGCTGGTGATGTGGGGTTTGTTCAGTTGATCTATTGACGCCATTTTAATCATTTTTTTATGTTTGTTTTTCACTAAAAGAGAATGAACGTGCACTAGACCCTGACGAGAAGCCTCACCAGTTCACAGAAAATAATTCTCCAAAACCACTTATCTTTCTCAGAATGAAGGTATATTTTGATATTTTTTATTTTAATTCTTTCTGTGGCTCTGTTTTCAATTATTCCTCGACTTGTACATGACGTTATGTTTTGTGCTTTCGAACTGATTAAATATGCCATTTTTGAGTTCTAAAAGCTCTCTCTTCCAAAACGAGGCTACGGTAAGCGCAAGACTTTTTTTGAAAATGAGCCTTATTTGCATGAAAATAAAAACTTGGGCAACTCAGAAATGGCCTATTGAACTGTTGAATAGCCCACAAAATTTTCTAACATCACTCCGATGGTTTTTGGCCATATTTCTATATCTGATTTGGTTTTCTTTGTGCTCAATCTCTTCTGTGAGTTGCAAGACAATGGAGTCTTGAAAAATTTGAAATTTTTTCCCCAAAGCCTCCCATTCTTTTTAGAATTATGATTATCGAACTTGGGCTATACTCTCCCCCTAGGATCGATAAAAAATAATTATGTGTAATTCTTTTTCAGAGTGCTGATAGAAGAAAAGGGTACATAAGAGTTTATCCTGGAATGATAAAGTGAGTTTGGTGAAATCTCAAACTAAAATGTGATGACAGGACGATTTCTAACGTTCAACCTTGCTTTTAATAGCAACTGAGCGATTTCCGGAGATTTTTACCTGGTTCCACTTAAGCGGAGTTTTTTTTCTTGTCACGTCTATGAAACGTTTTTTTCAACACGTCACGTTTTTTTTCTTGTCACGTCTTTTCGTGTAAAAGAAACACGAAAGTTGTGGACGATTTGTTGACTGGCACAATCTCTTCGGTAAGCGCTTCGAGACTCGCGCGCGCGCACACAAGACGTGGCGGATGACTGGAAACAAGCAAAGCGCCAGTCATTTTACCCGCTGTTCTTTGGGCATAGTGAGAGGTGTCTGGGTCAGAGGTTGCCTTGTCCCTGGGCTTCATTATTCTGCGCGGCCTATGGATTTCGGGTCGCTCGGTCCGAGCGAGTTTGCTGGGCCGTTTGTCTCAGATTCGTCGCCGAAATGCATTGACCGAGAAGTCGTGGTTAGACGTCGTATAGCGACTAGGTAAGGTCAGAGGGAGGGTCAGTTTTGCTTTTGCCTTCCGTCATTTTTACCGCGGTTTGATGTTGTTTTTACAGTGTATCTGCCATGTTTAAGACGATCCCTGTCACTGCTATCACAAGAGTAACTGATGTTATTCAAATTGCTTTGGAGAAATTCGGACTTAAGGTATGAAGTTTAGCAATGAACGCTCGGTCTTGTTACACGTGAATTAGTCACGTGACAACAGATGATTGAAAATCGCGGGAAGTTCATAACCCCCAGCTCTATTTAGGATTGGATGCTGGCGTCTGATATGTATGGCCTCCTTGGATTTTGTTATGATGTCCACCGTCTCCTGGTCAAGGATCTTGACCCTCTCCCAGTCGATCTCATTGTTTGCTTTGGATTGGTGTTCCCGGGTTGCGAATGTTGTTTTGTTTTTGGTGTCGCACAGTCTCTTAGGATGAGGCACCCGTAACAATCCCTATATAACGAGCACCCTGGTATAACAACAGACATTCTTCACCCAAGTTGCAGTAGAATGAATGGAACAGGTTATCAATATGACATGCAGTGTACCCAATTATTTTGGGTTCCTTTAAATGGAGGGTTGTGCTATTACGACCAGACTTCTGGTAATCGAGTTCACATCCGTTTAACGTATCTCGATAGGATTTCCGTTAGACGGGTCGAATTCCATTTCAAGACACAACTGGACTCAGTTCGTGTGTATTGGACATGTGTGACCAGAAACTCACAAGGGGTTGAAGCGTGTAACTCCGTATGATGCTCTTGAATATTCATTTTTGCAAGTGCCATATTTGGAACGAGCAGAAAAGATAACTGACCAATCAAACCTCGTAAACGACGTGACGTTATTTTACTCGTCACTTAAAAGTGAATTCGCGCTGCTTACGAGTTACACTTTTCAACCCCTTATGAGTTTCTGGTGAGACTAAATGACTGTTCTTATTTTTCATTAGGACGCAAATCCGGACGATTTTTCTCTGACAGAAGTTCACTTGAATTATGGAGGTAATAGAGGCTCGTCTTTTTGTCCTTCTAGTGTAAAATTATCAGCTTTCTATCATGCCGCGATACAACCCCCGGGGATGCAACTAGCCCGCAAGCAAGCTCTCCATTTTTGGCGACAACCTCGTTTCCAGGGTTCTCTCCTACCCGTCACTACTCGACGAGTAGGAGAGAGAACCTGGGAACGAGGTTGTTATGGCGAGTGAAGTGAGCTGCGAGAGAAAGCGCGAGCGAGCGGCGGAGCCGCGATGTTTGGAGGACGCAGTCGCGTCTCTTTTTGCGTGCAGCTGTCGCGCGAATCCTCTCAACTCCCCTGCTTCCGGGCTACTATACAACTGCCACTTGCCTATCCAGCGTGACGTTTTGCTTTATTTTTAACGGAAAACCAAACAAAAAAACACGTACAAGGCGCCTGGGTATATCATCTTTCTCGCTCTGGCTACAACTTGTTTTGTTATTCTCAAACAACATTTCAAAATATTTAATGTATAATTTTGTACTAGTTAACTCCTGTAAGGAAGAAGCTCTTAATCGTTTTAATAAAAGTTTTAGTCTTTAAACACTAAGTTTGATAACAAATTCGTTTTCTTGCTGTTGCAGTTGTGAAACCTTTTACAAATAATCAAGCTAAACCCACGATAGATACAAGCGTTGGTAGGCTTAAAATTCTGACTTTTCAACGGTTAAAAATAAAGAAATAAACTAAATGAAAATAAATGAAAAACGCCAAATAATTTTCATAGGTCAGTCTTCTGTCAGAGAAGACACACCGAAAACAAAAACAGCTAGGGATTACAGTTATCTCGTTATGGTCTTAACCTTGAGTATTTTATCGTTTTAAGAGATTTTTTGCTATGGCCTGATCATGTAAAAAGCTTCTATTCAACATAAAATAACACGCTAAGGGACTAACATTGTAAGAAGTTAAGAAATTAAACGTTCAGGTTTTGGAAAAAATTTAGAAATACCATCTTGCAAATGCACCACATTTGACACTGAATGAGTTGGAGTAATCGTGATGAAGATTGAAAGAACGCAAAATTACTTTTTAAGAGACGTGGCCCGTTTTTGCTGCTGTCGCCGGCCTCGGATCTTAAGGCCCCTAACATTGGGGAGGATGACGTTGTCTCTTTCTTTATCTTTTTAAGTTCAAGAACGAAGAATGGACCACAATGACTGTCCGTGGAAAACTCTGGTGGATATAAGAAAGGTATGTTTATTTCTATCTTCCTGTCGTGGACCTTAGTCTCGGTGGTTTAGCAGTTAAATATGGCTTAGTATGTTTTTGTCTGTGAGTGAAGTACCCTTATTGCTGGTTTTCACTGAACGCCATCAACTATAAGAATCAAAACCGTTCGACAGTTTAAGTCCAAAATCTGGGAAATGAAAGGAGGTAAATATGCAAAGTCCCTCACCAAGATTCAGGGTAGTGCAATTTTTCAGAAGCAAGATATTCGGATAATTCATTTGCCCAAATTTATGGAGCTTTGTTTGGAGACGCCATGTTGGATGCCCATCCGAATAGGCACTAACATGGCGGCCGGAAACCAACAGAAACAGTTGTTATGGAGTTTTCCTACTAAAGCGTGAATTCATTCTCGGGGAACTCATAAACATAAAAGTAATACTTTTTTTAATACAACTGTTCCGATAGCAAAATCCCCCAAAACAGGTCATTTTTTTAACCCTCACGACAGCTCTCTTGGCCGCCACGTAAATTCCGCGTCTCGCAAAAGCTTAGAAATTCAAGCGCACTCTATCCCTATTTCTCGAGCCGTCGGTTTTTCAAAATTCCGGATAATTCTAGCTAAAAATAACTTCCCTTTACCAGACAAACACTGTAATTATACCCCCGATTTTTCAAACCTCAGCTTCTCCCAGTAAGAGTGGCTAAAAAAATCGGGATTCCATAGTATTTTTTTTGGCCTGCTGAATTTTGCCATCTGGTTTAACCGGCGCCTTACTCGTTCGCTTGAAATGTTCATTTGATAATAATATAGTCTTTATCTCTTCTCACTGTACAGAAATCTATAAGAAAAATGAAACTGACGAGATTTTATTTACGTCAAAACCTGGAACCCCTGGGAAATGTTTGTATTTGCGTTGGAGGTCTTCCTACTGGATTAGAGTCCACCAAATATCAAGACCTTTTAAGTGATATATTGGGCGAAAGTAAGTGTCCGCTATTTAAAGTAAGTGTAGCGAGACTCAGATAGCCAAATTCTTGTCTTTTCATCTTTAAATTTCCTTCTTGATCCGTTATCCTTTCACTCTGAGTGTTATAAGTTATCATCTTTATATTTTTTGCAGCGGTACAGTATTGTAAAATGAAAAGTGTGTTTGCAAGTTATGGTGAGTCCTACTGCCATTTTCTATCATGATGCAAAGAAAACATATTGAAATTGAAATGCATTGAAAACTGCATTAAGCAGATCTATAATATTAAGCGGACAGCCCGTTACATTCAGGACATACGAACTAATTCTGAAGCTATCCACCAGTCATTGTTTAACGCAATGAAGTTTTTCTTTACTTTATAGGCATGTTATTTGTATCTTTTCCCGCGGCTGATGTAGCAGCAGATGCTGTACATAAATTAACAAACTCTACGGTGGATAGTAAGGAACTGTTTATAAAAGTCCTGCCAAACATTCATGTAAGTAGCAATTCCAATGCTGCTTTGTTTATTAATGTTTAGTAGTATTTTATACAATCTGAGGTTAATTCTACGTGCTTTAATTTTAATGAATCATTCAAAAATGAAGTTAGATTCACGAGAACGCGGTCTTCATCTGCTTACTTTTACCTGGTTTACTGTGCGTCAGATCTAGGAAAAATTAAGATTCAGTGAACAGTGATTTACCACCCTGTACCCTTCCCCATCTCTCACCTTCTCCTTGTCAGAAACGACTTTATCTTTCCCGAGAGTTTCTAATGTATTTATAGGAAGAGCGTAATGTCGAATACACTTTTATCAGTGATTACTCCAAGTTTATGATCTTGGGTAGAATACAGCTCACATCATGCAGATTTTTTTTTCTCTCGGCCAACGTGGTAGGCAGTTTTCATAGTATAGACTAGATGTTTGCGGACTAAGCATGGGAATGGCTCGTCAAAAGTTTTGGATTTCGGTGGGAAATGCTCCTATTGTTCAGCTGATTGTTGAGTATGAGTGAACAAAGTTACTCGCAAGTGAATATCAATTTTCTCTTTCTTCTTGCAGCCTGAAATGTTCCCCCTTGATAGCCAGCCCCTGTTAGTACTAGTCAATACAAAAAGTGGTGGTGGACAGGGGGCCGATATGCTAGCAGCTTTTCAACGGTTACTTAACCCGTATCAAGTCTACAGTCTATCAGAAGGAGGACCATTACCAGGGTAAGTGATGCGACGTATTGTCATCTCTGTTGAGTAGGAAGCTGGGGATGGTGGAAAGGATGAAAATCTCCTTAGCCTTTCCTCATCACCCTCGCGCGTGCTGCTTCACAGAGACAACTGACGTTTTTACTTCAGGGTTCGCACAGTCTTGAAAAGTCCTTGAATTTTAGGGGAAGTCCTTGAAAAGTCCTTGAATTCCATTTTTCCTTGAAAAGTCCTTAAAGTTCTGTGCAAGTCCTTGAAAAGTCCTTGAATTTTCTTCGACTTTGAATGAAGTAGCCTGGAAAGAGTTTTTTGATGCTTTTTGGTTGTCCAAGACACTAGACAGAATATAAATCATAGCTCAGAGAATTTAAAGGTTATTTACATAAAGTGCTCAATGTTTTATGCAATAATTAACTATCAATTTAAGACAAGTGAACTGAAAAATGTAGAGAAGTTGGTGAAGCAAACAGTTAAAGCCTTAAAGTCTTATTAGAATGGACTGGGAATGTGCATTTTTGTACCATCCGGAAATTATATCCCTAGTAAGTGGTCCCTGAAAATCTAATGTGGTCCTTGAAAAATGGTTGCAATTTTCTGTATGAACCCTGTATTTTAATAGACATGAGTTGATCGCCATGATTTGTACCAAAGCAGTCCCAATGCACGCAAGTAACCCAAACAAACAACCTACAGCCAATGCAGAATTTTCGTAAGGACTAGCAAAGACACACTCTATTAGGCTCTTACTAGTCTCTCTTCCCTACAAACCCGGAGAAATTATCACTTTACCTGTGTCTGACATCCCTTGCAGGGTGGGCTCTGTCGCATTTTCTACTCTCCCCACTCCCCCTCTGCATTCAAGAGCATAGATGGCGACTAGACGCGGCAAGATCTGAACGTTCGCCCGCTCAAAAAATCAGGCTAGTCTGAATTAAGGGAAAATACTTCCAGGGCAAAATGACAGCCGTTCGTACTCTCTCTAATAAATAGCTAAAACTATTTTGTGTCTTTTTCCCTTAAGGTTCTATGCTTTTAGGTCCATTCCAGATTTCCGTATTTTAATATGCGGTGGCGATGGAACGGTTGGATGGGTTTTATCGTGTTTAGATGATGTTCTTCAAGAGCTGAAGTGTAAGATGCCAGCCTCAGCGATTCTTCCACTTGGAACAGGTGAGTCCGAAGTCGCGTTCACACAACATAGCTTGCCGTATCAAGATGACGTTCTTCCGCCCATGAGACCCTGAGTTATTCTCTGGGCCGCGAAAAGTCTGCTTCTATTTTAGAACCTTTCTTGTCCGCACAAGGTAACAATTAGAGAAAAACAATGGAAGTCACAAAGCAGATTATGAATTCTGGAATCGCTGTATTGGAATGCACTGTGTTATCACTCAGGCCGATTCCTCCTCCCGATCGCTTCTACAGGGGCTGAAATATGTAACACTGCAAGAGAACTACTAGCTCGGTTTTCAAACGAGGTTCTTAAAGCACTGTCCGGCCAAATACAGTAGCAGCTGACGTGCACGATCAATTCTTTACAGGATTTGATTTTAGTTCTGATTGGTTGAGATAGTGGCACGAGAAGCACCAGCCAATCACAGAGGGTAGTGATGCAAAACAAATTCAGACATCTAAAAATGGCCATCAAACTGAGTGAAATATAACAAATGACTGATTAATACATTTAAGCAACACGGCAAGTACAAAGGAAGGTACGGCTGGACAAAATTGAACTGGATTAAACGGACTGCAGTTTGGGTTTTAGAAAACTGTTCAACCTCTCAGTTTTTAAGGTTTATCTCCTTTTATGTCACATTGAGCCGTAACGCCTGAGATATTTTTTTTTATCATGAAGTTTACGTTTAGTTAACGTAACAAAATCTTCTAAACAACCTTGACACAGTCCCTTTTAGATAAGGAAATCTCTGTTAACCCTGTAAGCCCCAATAGTGACCTACATCTAATTTCTCCCAACAATAACACTGCCTGATCAAACAGACAGGTCATGATAATTAATGAAATAATCAGCAAAGATGAAATGCTGTGATGTTCGAACAAATCTCAAGCAGTACCATAAGGAATGTATGAATAAAAGTGGGGAGAAGATGCATGTTGATGCTGCGGCTTAAAGGGTTAACTAAATATTAGCTAAACTATGATCTACCTGTTAAATTATAAAATAGGTAACGATCTCTCTCGTGTTCTTCATTGGGGTGGAGGGTATTCTGGCAGTGAGAGTCCAGTGTCACTTCTTATGGCCGTGGACCAAGCACAGGAAAATCGTTTGGATAGATGGTGTGTGATGTTTGATGTAGCCGAGGCTATTCCAGATACGCTATCAAATGACAGTGCTATAGGCTCTATTGGTTGTAAAGATGACGATCCTAGTATTTTTACCATGAACAATTATTTTGGCATTGGAATTGGTGCGGAACTTTGTTTGGATTTTCACCTTCAGAGAGAAGAAGCACCAGATAAATTCCATAGTAGGTAAGTTGATTATGATCCTATTGGCCTTTTTTACGGTTGCGCTGGGGAGTGGGTCGGGGTTGTGTCGAACTGCATTATGGGACTGTTTTTTTGGGAAGAAATTTTGACCCATGATCCTTTGCAACTTCGTATTAGCCAATGAAAGAAGCGATAGTGTTCACAAAACAATTCCATAGTGCAACTTAACACAACACCGACTTTATGTCACGTGCAACCTCAAAATGCAAATATACATTGGAGTGGGGAAGGGAGGGGAACGGAGCGGAGGGGAGGGGAGGGGAAGGAGGTAAAACCTTATTAAACGAACACCATATGAAGTCCATGTTTCTTGTTCCAAGGTGCGGGGCTGTTCACAAAGATTTCATCTGGCCTGGTATAAGCAATTCGTAGGCGGCTAATTGAACGGTAGTCTGCTACACAGCCGTTTTTAGTGTCGTCACGCAACGCTCCTCCCAGTGGGGAGGAGCGTTGCGTGACGACTCTAAAAACGGCTGTGTAGCAGACTAATTGAACGGCTGACTGGTGGTTGTCTTTCCCCAGGGATACTTTCTTCATAGTTAAGCTTGACACGAATGAACTGAGAAGCACCTACTTTGGATGTATAAAGCGTGATTTAGGCTTGGGGTTTGAGATTCGGACGTCTGTATTCGGCTCCAAATATCTTAAAGATCTTTGAGTATACGTTTAAGAAGGAATTAACCACAAACCTGTTTAGTTTTAGTTATACTTGAATTTGATTTTCTTTCTTTTGCTTACAACTCAGGCTTCATAACAAAGGTGTTTACTTTAGAGCAGGACTGAAGAAAATGGTGAAAGGTTATTCAAGGACATTCGTAAATGAAGTTGAAATTGAGGTGAATTTTTTCGAATTAATAACGCTTATAGTAGCAGTTTTAATATCTTAAATCCAATATTTTTATACCACTTATTCACAGAAGAGTTAGTGAAAGTGAAAATAACGTGAAAATGCAACATAGCTGTCCTTATCATTAATTCCTGTGACTCGTTAAGCTAGTCAAGTCATTTTCTGGTCATTATCTGGTCAAAAAAACGAAGAAGCTAAACTACCCAAACCACTTTTTTATTACCATTTGAGCATAATGCAGGCGGTTGAGGAGTGCGCATGTGTTAAATTATCAGAGTTGTGGTTCATAATCTCAATTTATTGTTTCTTTCTGGCAAATTACAACTGCCAGATTTTCAGGGTACATGCTTTACTTTTTCAGCACCCTTCTCTCTTTTTATCACTGAAGATACCCCGCTCCCACCCACCCCTCCCACCCACAAGTAGCCTGTGTGTCAGCTATACGTGAATCCTTGCTTACACTTTTTGTCTCATTAACATATGTTTATCATTATCTGATGAAGCTAATAAAATAACATCTCTGAATGTTCAAAGAGCATAAGTTAAACAATTTCAGTTATCTCTGAAAATTTCAGGCCGATTTACCGAATAGTTTGGTAGAAATTCTCTTTGAAAAACGCGAACGTTACAAAGAATGTATGGGCTCATTAACTGTTTTTGCCACCCAGCAATTTAGCAGTTTTTGTTAATAATTGCAAAGAGCTAAAAATTGCACCAACTTCTCAAATTGATTAGCTCTTTCAACTTTTGAGTTTAATTTGTACATATGGCGACATCTTTTATGGGTTAACTTGTATGGTAATGAGCAAAAATGTAATCAATGACGTCATCCTGAACGGACGTGATTACATCTTCCTTTTAGGTTGATGGTAAAAAGCTTGATTTACCAGCACTAGAGGGCATAGTAATTCTTAACATTGGCAGGTATGTACGGCTGTAATTTAGTGAAAGTGGAACATTCTCTTAATTGTGGTTTTTAGTAACTGCGTTTGTTTGTTGTTGTGCGAAACCTTTTTTTACTAGGAACGTTGAATGTCGTATCATTCAGCTCTAGAAATTGAGGGCAAAATACTAAATTAAGATTATTTACGTGACATTCATTAAAATTTTCCTGTAGTACTGGTCGTTATGCTGCAAGGTGGCTATGAACGTTTGAGTTTGTGAATGAAACCGTAATGGTGGACGTTCAAATGAAAGCTTAGCCTGAGTATCAGGCGTTTCTGGGGAAAAGGGGAAAGATGGAAGCGAAAAAGGGAGAGAGGTGAAGGCCATAGGAAGGCCTGAAACTCAGGCTAATGAAAGCTACTGAGCAGTACTTTCCAGATTGCTTCATGTAAGGGTATCCGAGACTTTCTTGGGTTCCGGATTCCAGGTACTGGTTTCCAGTATTTTTCATTAGAACTTATTACATTCCAATCGTAAGTGGGATTCCAGATTCCTTGAACTGTATTTCGGATTCAAAAGCCAAAGATTTCTGATTCCACAAGTGAAAATCTTCCGAATTTCGGAATCCGAAGAGGGCGGGGGCATATTAACTTTCTTCCCCTGAAAAGGAAGGGCTCGTTATAAATGGGACCGGGGAGGGGGTGGGGAGCTTAATAGAGGATTTACTGTATATTCATTTATTTCTTACAGCTGGGGTGCAGGTACCGATGCGTGGGGACCTGACAGAGATGATGTGAGTAATTTACCTTGACTTATGTATCCCCCGTCCCCAGTGTTCCAGGAAAACCTGAAGTGACATACCTTTCGATTTATACTTTGCAAGCTTCCTTTTTTTAACGTGCTTTTAAGGAGTACGTCGTCTTGATCTACTACCAGGCTTTATGTTGACACTGTACCAGATAGCTTTTGCGCCGACACGAGAATCATACCGGATAGGGATTCTGTTCACAAATAAGAAAGGTGATATCAGCGCGATTTCTGTAACGGAGCGAATCTGCGTTGCGCAGATCTCTTATGTGGAGAACCTCATCTCGGATAGTATGCTGGATATATAGCTAATCGGTATATTGTAAACATAGCCTGAGTTTTGTTGGTTTTTTGTTCTAGCGGGAATAACAACCCAAAAAAAGTTCAGCCTTCCTTTCTATTATAGTCTAGTGAACACTTGCGTGAGATTTAAACTGATTGAGGCCACACAACCCGCTCACTTTTTCATATCATACCCTTAAATATGGCGGCCTTAATATCTTTTAGTTGATTTATCACAAAATATGTGGCAACTTTTCCAGAGTTCCCTTTGAAAACAGTTCATTTTTCGTGCCTGAGACCACGTGTATGTTCGACTTGTGGAGAGTCCAAGCTTTTATAAAAGCGCTGATCGTGTATCGCACAAAACATCGTTATAACTTTACTCCTGATCTGTTTGTGCGGTTAATATTTTTCTGACAGGGCTATGCACCAGCATGTCACTGCGATGGTATCGTTGAGGTCGTTGGTCTTCAAGGAGTCATGCATTTGGTAAAAAAAATGTTTTATATTATTTTCTCCTTCACTTATTGGTTAAATCTGGTCAACATTTGATTAAGAGAAGAAGATAGTGGGCTAGAAATAAAACGAGCCAGGGTAGCTATTAAACAAACGAGCAGGATAAGGGGGTACGTTTATTGAACGGTTTCAAACCTTTCCAGTAGATTCTGTTTGTTCCTCTTATACTTTAAAGCGTTTAGGTTATTATTTTCGTTGTACTCGGTTTTGGCAACCGTCATGACAAAAAGTATTGGTCGAGCCAGCCCGTCCTAGGCTCTCAGTTAGAAGAGACAAGCCAGACAAAAGGCGAGCGCGAAAAAGTTGTTCTCTCCTCACTCTCCGCTCGTTTTTCCTTTTACGCTCTTTTCAACTTCTTGCGCCCCAAAATACAAAGTTCGTTAAATTTCGCGGCATTTTGGAGCAACATCTTCGCTCGCTTTTTAAGTATCACCTTTAAACTTGGTAAGTTTCCGCATTTTAAGGCGCTCTTTCTATCAGTGTCAATTAATATTCCCTAACTGGTCTTTATCAAAACTTGAAAAAACCGTGAACGGGTCTATTCTTTATCAGTTTATGGCGAGAACATTTTCAGATAGGCGCACTGCACTATGCACAATGCCATCCGAATGTGTTGTAAGGGCTTTATTTAGCGAGGGTTGTAATTTTCAGGTTTTAGGGAAAACCGCTGATGTGGCTCTTTCTCTACCATCTCCTTGTCATTTTTACCACAAATGGCTGCTTTAGTCAAGTGTCTTCTTATAAAAGGCGTCTGAGTAAGGTCTGGAAAACTTTAAATGGGCAACAGCTCAAAACTCGCTTATGCAACAAATCTCTTTTATATAGGGTCAGATTCAAAGTGGAATAAGAACAGGGATACGACTGGCACAGGGAGCCCAGGTAATGAAATAAGCAATTCCTAATGTTATATTTCTGTTATGTTAGTTTGATGTTCATAATTGGAGATTACTGTATAAGTACATAAATACATTTATGTTAGCCAGAGCAATGTAACTTTTGTTGACTTTACATGCACATTGCTCTCACTGTAGATTAACGTCAAATTGAAATCTGAGATGCCCGTACAGGTTGATGGTGAACCGTGGATGCAGGGTGCCGGTCATGTTATCGTCAGACCCATACTCACACAGGTAAAAATACCTAACCAGAGAGGGGAGGTGTTTCACTGGCTAGTCCCGTAAAAGGAGTTTGTATTCAAAATAATTGACTGTTTTGAAAAATCGCTGAGCCAACCTCGCGTGCGTTAAATCACCTGCTCAAAACTTTATGAGCTTACCACGTTGAACGAAGGAAAAGTTTTCTATTCAAATAAATGTAAATCACTGGTGATGTTGTGAATATTCTACTCCTTCGTCCAGAAAACTGCTTCAGGACAGCGGTCCCCAAAACATGACCCCTTAGGTGGTACATATCCGTATACCCCCCCCCCCCCCCCCCCCCCCTGGTCCCCAAAACATGACCCCTTAGGTGGTACATATCCGTATACCCCCCCCCCCCACTCCGGGACCCAAGGACCCCTTTTCGTTTTATGTTCCACTCAACCATCATCCCATGGTAATTTTAATTTTTGCCAGACTTCACTTGATCGGGTTTTTATTTACTTCTTGTCTTGCATTCAGAAGAATCGTAGGCTTGATTTCCGCCTTTTTCTCGGGGGAGGAGCGCGTGCTAATTTCCCATACAGCGGCTGGTAATCGAGCCTAGAAGAATCGCTTGTGATACTCTGACTTAACTCTGTAAATTCCTGATACCAATATACATATTCTCCGCACTAATTTTTGATACTACTAAGGAGAAAGAATTAAAACGTCAGAGCGTTTTATTGATGGTGATCACCACTTTTTTCTTTTTACCACTATGTTTTATTCGGCAGTTGAGTAGAGAAATTCAATACTGGTCATAAATTAAAAAAGGTGGTACTGACTGGTGTGTTTTCTTGCAGGCCGTGATGTTAACAAAGAAAAAAGTGAAAGTGAAACATCCAAGAAAGCCACTCAGCTCACCCAGACGCTCGTCATCTGCTTGCGCAAGAACAATTTTTTACGATGACTGAGCAAACTTTAGAGGCTTTCCTCATCAGACATACATTGTTATTGCAGAAGCAATGACTTATAATTTATAAAGGCTTCACTTGTACCGTTTAGATCGATATGAAAGTTAGAAAATCTTTCACCAGAACTGCGTATTGCTTCTTCAGACGCATGCATTGACTTTACATCTTTTTGCGAGAAACCCTGTTAGAATGAGCTTGGTTACCAGCTGCTTCCCGCGTTTGGTCCAGAAGTCAATGGATCTTTATTAAAGGAGAACTGGTTCAAGCAGAGCAGTGGAAACCGAATCTTCTGTCATGAGAAAGGATTTCCCCCTCTTTGCTTTAGTGGACACCTCCTAACTGATGGATGTGGACGGCTTTCTAATAACATGGACTCCCCCTCAGTAAAATAGTTACGGAGATCTCTTCAATACAATGCACACGTTTTGAAATAGATGGACACATTCTACCTATAATCTACGTCTTAACTTTGATAAAATGGACACCTCTATACCACAGATAGACACCTCTTAAGAAAATGGGCACCTTCATAAAATGGACACCTCTATACAGAATGGACACCTTTACTTAGTTGAACATCTCATTACTGTCTACAGTAGGATGGTGACAGACATTTCTTTAATACGATGCACACCTTTGAAACGAGATGGATACCTTTACACAATTATTTTCATCTTAACAGAGATAAATGAACACCTCTGTAGAAAATGGGCACCTTCACTAAGGTTGGATATCTCATTACCGACACGAATACTCCTTCACTAAAATGGTCATATTGCAAATGGACACCGTCACTAAGATAGATTCCACATGTCCCCAGTTTTCTTTTCTTCCTCTGGAACAAGAGAGGGCCTGGGAACGAAAGTGGCCAAAACTTTAACAATATGCATATCACGAAAATTGTTGCAAGCGTTTAGGAATTATAATGCGATATTTTTAATGAACGTACTTCGTTACATACACAGTGTACGTACTATAAAACACTAAAGAACACAAGTATGTGTTAAATTGTGCATACAGAGGCTTTAAATCATAATAACCAAATAATGTAAATAAATTTGTTTTTGAGAAAGAAATCTAAAAAGAAGCTGTTTTTAACCTTGTTCAACAATTCATGTACCCTTGGATCACTAGATTGGAGTGTTGAAAACACTCTAGTGCTTAGGCTCTCTCCTGCTGCAAGTTTGGCAAGTCACGGAAACGAATAGCGAGCGAAGGTCAATATGTAACGTTATGCTTTTTTGTATGGCTTCACTTGTATATTACACTACTAAAAGTTTAATGAAGGGTGGATTTATTATCAGCATACACGTGTAGGCATCACATTAGCCTACTGGAATTAATTTATTGCTTTTAGGCTTGAAAACAGTACAAAAATCATCGGGATAATGCGATGGCTATTCGCAAATCCAGTTTAATGCCTAAGGCCCTGTATTTACGGGGAGTAGTTGTCCCAGGTGGAAAGATCACCGACCAACCCGAGCCAACTTTTCATACGTTTCTTATAACCCGCGGCGAACCGTTTTAATGACAAAAATAGTTGGGCCGGCTAGACGGGTCACACTCCTGGCCGGGCCAGCTTGGTCAAACGGCAAACGCCAGATTCAAGTTGAGAATTTCTTAAAATGGAAAATGAGCCGATAAGAACAGCTCAAAACAATTCTTATCGCTAAAAAATTGCGTGAAACTACTAATTTGTGTAGAAATAATGAACAGTAAACGGCAAGTAAAGAGGAAACTTGGTCACGTGGTACAAATTCGCGTTTGCCGTTTGACGTAAACGTGGTGATTAACCTCTTCAATCAGAGCATACGCTTGCGCTGTTTTAGCGCTGTTATCTCGGGTAAAGGGATAAAAAATTTTTCACATATAAATGCTCAGTCACTGAAATTGACTCGGCTAAGAGGGTGATCCTTCTTCCCGAGAATTTTTTTTCCATTTAAACGGAGCCTAAATTGCCCCCTGGTCATGTGATATTACTCTAGAAATCTGTTTTTTGTTCACATGTCGTCTTTTTCACGCGCATATTTAGCATATATATTTAGCATAGCACATGTATTTACGAAAAGACAAAGGGTGGATTCATTTGCAACATGCTAGTGTGGCCGTCGCGTTAACTCTTATTGTTTTTTAGCTTAAAAACAAGAAAAAAATTCCAACAGGCAAATGCGACAGCTATACGTGCACGTTGCAAATGGTTGCCGGTCGTTTCGATACAAGTTTATTCAGTAGTTTCACGTCCTTGGCTTAAAAGAACGAACAAAATTCACCCAAAATGTTTTCTTGTTCACGCGAACTACAGTACACTTGAGGTGAATGAATTTTTGTGCAGTTTCACTGCTTGAGTTCGTATCGAAACGACCGGTTTCTTTGCCAATGAATCCCTCCAAAGAGCAAATCACGTGACTTGTTTTGAGAAAACAAAAACATACAAGCTAACAAGGTGTCTAGGCTATTTGGACGGTCTCTTTGCAATCGCCACCGTGGTTGCTAAAGATTCTGGTAAATGGACGCATTATCGAGGTTTCATTGTACTGCGTTGGACCGCAGGAGAACGCGACCTAACCCCGTCCTAACACTTTTCTGGCAGCCCCAAAAATGTTCGCAGGGGCAGCTTCTATCGCGTGTCAGTGTTGTCTTGGCGGGATAAGGTTAGAACTCCCTGAAGCCAGTGATCCTTCGTAAGAGTCTGTCAGCTGGTCTGTGTCGCTATGCAAAGGTTTTGATACTGCAGTTCTTCAAGTGTACTGCCTGTCCATGCACGCAGGTATTTTTGTTGAGTAATTTTCTTGAGCGATTTACTACGAGTCTAATTTAAACCTACCCAGAATAATATTTCAGGGGCACCCAACGACAATTTTCGGAAAAATATCTGTTCGGAAGACGATTTGAGATCTAGAATTTTCGGAACATTTGTTGCAAAATTTATTGCTTGCCTGCCTCTCCTAGGACTTTCGAACATCTAAAAAATGGTATAACTGCCTATTTTTGACGGATTTTTACCCTAAAAAGGTCACCTAGAATTTTCGGGAGCCTTTTTTCTGGCTGAAATTTTCGAAAGGTTAAGTTTTGATCCCTATAATTTTCGGATCACTAGACTTTCAGCTAAGAAATCGGAACAGATGAAAAATTTTTAGGGGATAAAAATATGCCTATATCTACCGTTTAAATACTAAAATACGTTTAACAATTCTATGTTTAAGTGGTTTTGAACTACATTCTCGTTGGGTGCCCCTGATATTTTGACAGCCAAATAGAACGCTTTGTACGATGATTCCATATTAAAGTCATCGCATTGTCTAGAGATAATTTTCTTTTTCATGAATGAAAGTTTAAAATTGTTAAATCTTTACTACTGTATTTAGACAGTTCAACACTGTTTACTTTCTTCCTCCGAAATGAGTCAGTTGAAGGCTGTACCGAGGTCAGTGACAAGTCGCCCGAAACTGAAGTCATCTGGTCCGAAGTTATGCCGCCGGAAATTTTTAGTAAGTGCATGGTCCGAAATGCTGAGTTTTGTCGCGGAAAGTTTTAAGCGATACTGAGACGAAACAAGAGATACAAATGAGTAATATACCTCGTTCTTTCAGATTCGATGAAACGAAACAAACGCGAAAACGATGTTAGGATGTTGTTAAACATGATAAAATTTCGGGTGACACAACTAAGCATTTCTAGCGACTCAATACAACATTTCGGGCGACATAACTCTTATTTAAAGCGACATAACCTCGGGCGAGATGACTTTCGGGCGACTTGACCGTTAACCACAGCGAATGTACTAGGAGATACAGAAATCATTATCGCTGTTCAGGTTGCGCTTTTTCTCAGTTCGAACGATCTCTATATACCTTATAAATAGAAATTTGCAGCTGTTTATTTCTTTTTATTCTTTTTGTTCGACTTTACTTCATGCTTGGAAGAGCTGGATTCTCTTTTTGCCTTTCTATAAAGATAATACATAACCAAGACTGCAAGCACGGGCCAGAAACCTATCTGGATCAGTACACTAGGATCAAATGGAGATTTTCTTCTGATTGACATCAATTCTGTGGTGAATATTAGCACTGAATTTGCTGTGAAAGCAAAACAAAGTTACACATACTTAATTTGTTACAAAGTCGGATTATGAAGCTAGCATTTACTAGCCCAGACATCATTTCAACTAGCCCCAAAAACTTTTTGACTAGCAGAATTGATTTCACAGTTCTTCTGTTAATTGAATTCCTCAAAAAACATCACTTGCCCGTCGGGCAAGTTAAAAACAGAATTCACCAGCCCGATAGCGAAATCCACTAGCCCTGGGCTTATTGGACACTACTTTCTTTGCATGCTGTTTATTCATTGGATAGGGCTTTCCGGCATATTTGATTAACCAGGGCCAGAGCTTTGCTTCTCTTTACTTCCTTCCATCTGGAGAAATCTGGGGTTTAAAAGTCTTGGGTTAGAGGAGGGGGGTGGGGAGGTTGGGGTGGGTTTCCGACATGAAAGTGAAGGGGATCCTTGAGGTTTTGCCTAAGGGTTAAAAATTGCAGCTTTAGGACTCACTTAGAGGTCTTAGAGTGCTCAGGACAGAAGGCCAAAAAGGTATTGCTTAGTGTTGTGTGTTCAGCTAAGTGCAAACAGACGCAACAGCTCCCAACATTGTGCAAATGGATGCAACAACTCCCAACAATGTTGGGAGCTGCAGTGCATCATGGGAAGGATACAGCCCATAAGACTTTGGAGACCATGTGTAATGCACGTGCGTGTCGCCAACAATAATGTTGGAAAGGCTGTGCAAACGGATCCAAGTGAACATTGTTGCACTATGCTTCAGCGATCACGGAACAAATACGAATGTTGAGGAGTTGTTGGCTTAAAAGTTTGACTGGTTTCAAACTTTGCGCAACAACATGCAACAACCTGCAACAGGGTGTGCAAACGGATGCACACTGTGCAATCCAACAATGTTGCATGCATTTGCTTGGGGCTTTAAAAGGATAAAATCAAACAAAAATGATGTCATAGTACGTGGGAGTATGGTATGATAAAATAACATTATCACGAATAAAGGTATTGCTGTTTTATACTCACGTGGAATGACATTCTCAACTCCCCGTGATCCATAACCAAGGTGAGGTGGAATAATCAACTTCCTTTTCTCACTAGAAATGAAAAAAAGTAGAAAAGTCCAGTTTCAAGTTCACTTTGATCGCTGATTAAAGAAGTAAAGACGCATTTTTTGCAAGCTTTAGCTTCCATCTGAAGTAAATATATTCACAAATTCCAATGAGAAGAAGACCTGTTTATTACTCTGTATATTGTGTATTTTCACAGTTTCAAACACTTACTTGCAGGAATTTCTGAATATTTTACTTTATGTTGAGGCTAACCCTGTATGAATGTGTTGTTAATGTTTGTATTCAGCAGTAATTATTTTAATTTGAAACTGGACTATTAAACAGGGAGACTCAGTCATGCAGAAAATGTTGTACTAATACAAAACCTCAAAACTGAGCTTTTTAGTGAAAGTGACATGAGCTTTTAAAGGAAAAAAAACCTTACCCTATACACATTCCTTTTATTCCCATCTCCCATCCTGTTAAACAAAGAGGAAAACAATGAAAAACAATTATTTTCCTTGTTAATTTTAGCTATAACAATAAATGCACTTTAGATGATACATGGAGCATCTTTTTTCATCCCCCTTTAAGACAGAACACTAGCCTGCGAGCAGAAGTTTCTCTCTTGCGTGGCATTTAGCATTTATGAAGTCATTTGAATCACTTGTCGGTCACATAGTTGGTTTGATTTATATGCTCCAGGAAAAACCTTCTCCTGAGGCATATAAAACAAGTCAACAACACAACTGACAAGTGACGTGAACGATTGACTTCGTAAACACTTATAAACACCATGCAAGAGAAAAACCTCTGCTCGCAGGGTAACAGCTAGAACACCAATGGGTAATCGCCAACTGACCACTGAAAACGAGTCCGCCATAAAATTTCTGAGACAAACCTAAGACCTGATTAAGGAAATAAAGATGGTGACAATTAAAGTGAAATACATGTATAGAGCGCATGACAAATAGCTCTCAAAGTGTTTCAATCTCTTCTTGTACTAACTAAAAGAAGGAAGTAAACGACCACTAAATATGGGCGTAGGCTTAATTAAAGAGGTTCCTTCAGTTACATGTAAAATCCTCATCTAATAGGGCTTAAAATTGTCATTCTTTTCCTTTTGCACTTACTGACTTGCTGCCTATTTTGAATATTAATCTAATCTACACAGAGATTTGTACTAAAGAATGGTCTATTTGAATTAATGACAACTAACTACAGTTAATTAAACCTCCATTAACTGGCTGCCAATAGGGTCTGGCAAGAGGCCACTTATTGGTGGTTGGCTGTTCAATATAGGCTCATCAGAAATGGTAAAAACTTTAACAGAAACATCACTATATTTTGAAACAAATATGTGATGGGAGCAGCATTACTGGTCTACAATCAGTGTTCGCCCATCTTGGACTGTTTTTTTCTTCATCATATAATTTATAAAAATAAGGTCATAAAAACCATGTATATCAAGTGATTAAAGGCCATGTAATAGATGTGAAATCAATGTAAGAACTCTCCAAGGGATGTCCAAAATGTGGACATATATGGTCAATTAATGGGCACGTCTGCTCAATAAGGCTTTCATTTACAATTTTTTGCTATTGCAATCAATTCATGACTTGGGTTACTACAGGCTTCTAAAAAACTGACTGAGGGTGGCCGCTTAATAGTTGGCTAATGGAGGTTGAACAAGTGTAATAAGAATTGTATCACCATAGAATTAAGAGTTTCATTTCTAAAATATACTTAGAATTGAATTAACCTTTTATGACTTTTCCTTTGCCAAGCTGAAATTCAAGTGGCTGTCTTCCTTGTGCACGAGATGAATCAAACATTTGTCCATTTTCCAAAGTTCCCTCAAAAATTTAAAAAGGAATGATTATTCTATTTGAAGTTTTTGGAACTGCATCATCAAAGAGTCAATGGGGATCATCCCAAAATAGCTAGAGTTAAATCAGTTCTTGCAGGGTTGTCACTAAGATTTCAAGTTGCCGGGTAAACACAACAAGTAGGCGGCGAATCAAACAGCTAGGGATTTCTTTTGGTTTCATTTTTCTTCTATTTTCCAATAAAAGTAGCCGGGGGCCACTCTCTTAGTAGCCGGGGAAAATCCCCGGCCCCCGGTTCTTAATGACAACCCTGTCTTGTTAAGCAAGAAAGACAGTATAGCTAGCCTAGGGAAACAGCCAACATTTTGCAACACAAACACTAACTTTCCGCCAAGAAAGATAACTGGGGAACAAGCTCAGAAATTCCACACTGATGACGCATCACTCCTTAGATTTGGGTAGACTTCTGATTGGTTGAGCAAATTTTCAACCAATCAGAAGTACTTATACCCAGATCAAGGTAATGGCACACTGTCCGGAATTCAAACCAGTGGTAGCATCACAAAATGTCAGCCATTAAGAAAAACAAATGAAAATGATACTGAAAGAGGATGGAAAACCTGGGGATAAGGTGGCACCAGTTGGGTCATTGGGTTCTATGGTCTTGCATGGGTCATTCCCTCTCTGGTCTAGCCAAGTCTTCCACTCAGATGACTGAAAAAGGGTTTATTACTAAGAGTCTACCTCAAAGAAATCCAAGAGAACTACACAGCTCAACCCAGTTTTAGTACTACTCGGACAGGGTCACCATACAGTTAAGGTCAGAACAATTAATTACTTATTACCCAGTGTACTTACAGTATAGTGAACAGAGACAATATCCCCATTGTCAGCTTTATCCTGACAAGTAGCTGGTTTGTACTAGGAAATAAACCAAAAAATCATTTTTCTTTTAAAAGTAAGATCATAAACCACTGAAAAAAAACTTTCTCGAATATTTCTTGTAGAAAGATGGATTTATTTATCATAATTGATGAGAGGATTTAACCCATTCGCCCCTGAACCGCCCGTAACCGCCCGTGTCGATCCAGGTCCTTTCTACCCATTGTGACGTGATCAGTTTTAACGGTCAAGGACAACTTTCTTCACTAACTTGTGCAGAGTGAAGAGATCTTTCAAACCATACCAGAATGAGCACAATTCAGTCAAGGACACCGGAGAAACAAGCAAAAAACCACGTGACATTGACCTGAAAATCTCCATGAAAATCTTGTTCCATTACCCACCTACCTTTCCTTTCGCCTAATCGTAAGATCCTAAAAGCTTTCCTAAAAACTCTTCCCACCAAAATCAAGCCTACTAAATGCCCAGCAAGAGAAAAAAAAATGAGGCAAGAAAAACAAAAAAAGAAGGGAGGAGAGAAAGCGAAAAGTAAAAGTCAAGACTGCTGTGTCACTTTTAAACCCAAAAACTACGTCGAAATTTTGCTTTCTGCGCATGCCCGAACTTTGCAAGCTGATATGTTGCATCTGGATCAGAAGGCCGTGAAGTGTTTGACCTGTAAACCAGTTTGTGGTAAGTTTTAGCTCTTTATAGCACGACAGTGACCAGAAAACCACTCGACTAGCTTCAAAACGCGTTTTTCGGCAAAATCTCCAGGAGCGGATGGGTTAATAAAAAAAATTATTTTTATTAAAAAATATTTTCTTAAAAATCTCTCTCTTATGGTCCTGATCTCTTAATATTACTCAAACATCAAAAGCTGGAAAATGACTCAAAAACTTGATAGATTCTTTTATTAGTTCTATCTCAGAGCTCAAGTCACTTATTGATATATGTAACTAATGCAGAAGTTAAAGAAAATTAAACTTATCCTATCATATTTTTGGGACAGCAAACAATTACATGTATTATTAAAAAATGTGTTCAAGAATATTATCTGGTACTTAGTTGCAGAGCTTTTTGGATCTATTTAGGTTTCTGGGAAACTTCCGTCCTGGCCCCTCCCCTAACCCCACATTTTGTCCTAAGTGAGAAGCAAGTGTTAATGTTGACTTAAGGGAGGGGTAGGTGGGCAGTTTCCCAGAAACCTCAAGTGATCCAGCTTTTTTTAAAAAAAGTCTTCAATAATGAAAAAGTGTCATTGTTTAATAACAGTCCAGTTTTGAATTGGAAATTTTGGCTGAATACAAACATTAATGACACAATCATACAGGGTTAGCATCGACATAAAGTAAAATATTCAGAAATTCTGGAAAGTAAGTGTTTAAAATATACACAATAGACAGTAATAAACAGGTCTTTTTCTAGTCGGAATTTGTGAATATATTACTTCAGTTGGAGGCTAAGCCTGTAAAAAATGAGTCCTCACTTCTTTAATTCAGTGGTCATAACAAACTTGAAACTGGACTATTACAGAATTTACTCTTTCACAGTAGAATTAACTCGAAAAAAAATATTCAAAAATATAAAAGACTCAGAGATACAGGCATTCATTTCTGGACAAACTCTTCTCATGGCCAGTCATTTTGCTAATACGTTCTTAAAATTTATGTTACAGCTGAGATAAATTAAACTGGGCTATAACTTTAGATAATAACAGAGATAAATAAATTAATGAGTTTTCTGCATCAATCAAGAGTACCTGCTAAGAATCTCTAAAAATGTGTTTTAAATAAAATTTATTGATTACCACCGAATAGTCAGATTTTAAAAATGCACGTGGTAAAAAATTTTTTGGGTTGCAGCTTTTATAAGCATTTTTGTGTTGAAGTACTATATGCTAGAAGCTTCCATTTTAAGTTATGAAAAAAATAGGTAAATACAGCTGTAGGTTCATGAATACTTTATCTTTGACTATTCAATGTTATGCTTGAGTGGAAAAGATGTCAAAGATGCTTTGATTATCTTGATTCCTTCCATGCAATTTATGCGAACTGAAGTTAATAACTTTGGTTTTTATTAGAAGTAACGATATAGTCAGCTGCAACAGTTCAAAACAACTTCTACAAAATTATGATACTTAGAATTCGACCTAAGACGTTTTTCAAACAAACGCAATTATAGTCGAAAAGCTATTGATGCGGAATTGGAAAAGGACGACTTTTGCGAATCAGAGAAACCCTAATAAAGGCGAAACTTTACAAGTATAAAAAAACCTGCGAGGAACAAGTTACTATATATATATAGCAAACAGGAGACTTCTTTACACAGGCTAGATTATAGTGATAGTGTGCTTAGTGATCTTTAAAATGCTTTAAATTACTTTTTTTCAGGACATTTTTTCTGGGATCTTTTTGCCTTTCAAAGAAGGTCGCGACGTGGAAAAGAATAAAGACCCAAAGTTTTTGTCTATAAATAAAATAGCGGCGCTGATAATTACTGGATTATACCTCTACAATGGTTTCCAAATCTTTCTTTTTCTTCGCTCCACTGGGGCATCCACAGTAGCTAATCAAAAGGAAAATGCTACAGAGTGAAAACACGGAGATCCTCTCCATTGTAGTTATTTTTCTAATTAACAAGATATGCCTGATGCGCTAAAATCTTTATCTCCTCGGAGAGCGATCAGCAAATGAAAGCAGGCGTTGGAAAACCGCTAATTACTGGACCCTAAAAACCGAGGAGAGTCTGGGTTTGAATAATGTTGAAAATTATGGCGGCCGAAGGAACAGATGAAAAGCAGAAAAATGACGGTCTTTCACATCCAGAGGTGATGTCCCTCTTTAGCGAAAAGCTGGCGGAGATAATGAGTGATCCTCTTCTTGTTGGACTGCCTAGCCAGCCTACACTTGAAGAGGTTAACTCGCAGATTGCGCTCGAACATGGCCGCGCCATTGTAGTGAATGTTCGACAACATGACGAGATGAGCACTGTTCTACGTAAGGATCAGAGGATTAATGTTAGAATGCCATGCCATTTATTAGCATATCTTTAAAAAGCCCTGAAGAACGAAGAATGTAAAAAAAAGTCTATAATATGCAAGGCAAAATTTCTCCCAGTAACCGGGCCAACCCATTCAACGGGGCTCATGTGAAGAGGCCCTAACTTAAAAGACAAGCAAGTTGTAGCTCCAGGTAAACAAAAGTTGAGAGCTGCTTGCCCAAAGAACAATCTGGAATTATTGAAGTTTTTTTCGAGCCCTAAAAGAGAAGTAAGTAAAAACAAACATAACAGATGAAATGAAACAGATGTGTTACATGTTGTTTTCAGCTGTTGTTGTCATCCAAAATGCAACTGTGCATGACTTGAAGAAGGCAGTCCAAAGACACATTTCACTGAAACTGTCAAGAGAAGGAGGCCCCAACATTGTTTCTTGGTATGTTGTAAATTGATGTTGTTGTCAATGGGTTCTGTTTCATTTATTGGGTTGTACTGTTGTACAGTGGGATTAAAATGTATTTTTGTGTAATATCCCCAAAGAATGCAGTGTTTAATTATGTTGCGGTGTTTTTGCCTGTGCAGTGCAATGAAAGGAGAAACTATTTAAATTCCGGGCCAATGCCAGGCAAAATTAAGTAATTTCAATATCACAAAAAAATAGTCCTCTGAGAGGACATGAGCTTACTGGCAATGAATAGGCTGTAAAAAAAAGGGGCATGGATGTGCACCTATGGTCCAGAGGATAAACGTTAATGCCATGTGTTACAAGGACAATTATTTCCCATAGTTTGTTTTTTCAATACGTTTGTTTCCTATTGCAATATGTTTGCCCTGCCTCCTATTTGAAAACGTATGTAATAAGATAGATGCTTCTTGTGACACATCGCGACAAGTGATAGTAGACTGATTGTCCATCAAAAAGCACGCAAATGTCGTAGTGAAATTACTATAAGGTAAAATTTGTTTGAAAGTTGTTTTGAAATTATGCAAGTTTGTGACATTTTAATTGAATGTTTACATAGTAAAAGTGGCAGATTCATGTTTGCATTTTCCCACCAACAATTAAAAAAATATTCATTACTAGTAAAACTCAACCAGCACACATAAAGCAATTACGAATGGATAGAAATAGCAAAGAAATTTATCTGGCTAAACCAATTCAAAAATTATCATAAGTCAAAACAGAGCATGTCTCCTGTAAAATGATATGTGAAAGGCCATTCCTCACAAATGCAAACGCCTTACGTCTTTAAAATAACAGAGCATAATATCCTATTTAACCTTACTGGCCATAAACTAACATACTGGTCTTTTTAGCCTGTCTTAGCCATAAATTTTTTGTTAGGCACATGTAAGGACTGTTCAAGCTGTGATGGTTCAAGGATAATTTAGATGTCTGATACTGTAAGGGTTAAAAGGTTTTTTAATAATATGGAATGATAAAAGCAAGTTGATTACTGTTAGAGCTTGAAGAGCTAATATTTTGATTTTTTTTCACCAGGAAGCATGTATGGAAGACATACTGGCTGTCATTTGCAGGCCAGAAGTTAATGGAGGATCACAAACCTCTTTCCCAGTAAGTTGGGTGCATCAGGATTAGCAAAATGTGATGGAAATTGCCTCTTGTACTCCGGGGGCTGGCTGCCGGGACCCCGGAACCCCTCACCTATACCTGGCCATATTTAGCTGCAACCCAATTCAAATCTTGTACCCTATCTCAGCAGTCATTTTAACCCTTTCACTCCCAGAAGTGGCCAAAGCAAAAACTGAGAAACATTCCAAATTTCTTTTTGTAAAATGCTGAGTGACAAACAGTACCCTGTTAAAGTACTGTACTGGCAAAGAGGTTTCATTTGAATGGTCACATCATAGGATTTCATCCACAGACTCCAAAGTTAGAACTACATACTAAATAAATAGTACCATGTGAAAGTACTGCTAAAGAGGTTTCATTTGAATGGTAACACCGTAGGGTTATGTCCACAGACTCAAAAGTTAGAACTACGTACTAAATAAATAGTACCATGTGAAAGTACTGCTGAAGAGGTTTTATTTGAATGATAACACCATGGGAAAGTCAGAACTAGACACTAAAAAAAAGTACCATGTGAAAGTACTGCTTAAGCGGTTTCATTTGAATGGTTACACCAACGCGTTGATCGCATCATAAGGCTAAGGACGTCTGAGAAACATAGGCCACTTGTCCTGAAATTTCCATTCTGTTTATTCCACAGTTACGGCATTCAAAACAAGGATGAGGTGACATTTGTGAAGAGACTGAGAAAAAAATGAAGACATGGCGCTTGATTACAGCAGTGATAAAGCAAGGTTATTGGCCAGCATTAAAAAACCTCAAAACCGGCCATTATGCACTTCATGTATGGAGGAAAAGAGGACCTGGAGTTAATAATTTCAGCCGTGTTACAGTGTTCAAGTTTGGGAGCACTTTTCAGTTTTGCCAGATGGCAGGAACAAGACAATATATTTTACCAATTCCTGAGGGTCTCGAACAGTCTGTTCCTTAGCCCTGCAAGCAAGCTCTTCATGTGTGGGAGTTGCGAGAATTCTCGCGAGAGCAAGGCGCGAAAGGAAAGGAGAGGCGATTGTCAGGGGCACGTCATCTTTTCCTTGACCAACTCATGAGATATCTACATCCCCCAGTCTTTCAGATCAGTAGTATGGGGTTTTTTTTAACGTGTTTTTATATGGCGGTTGAGACTTTGCCTGACAGAAATCCGGGTCCAGCCCAGCAGAAACAGATGAAAAGCATCTCTCATCATGTCGTAGCCTTTCTATGATCAACATTTAAAAGGTTATTGCTTTCATTAAAGTATAAAAAAAGCCTCAACGTACAGGATATTTGCGACGTCTTCCTGTTCTCAAAAGCGTTTTCTACGCTAAACGCTTAGCTGCAGAGTAAGATATAACCTGCGATCAGGTGGTCCTTCTTCCCTTTTGGTTTTGGAGGCGTAGTCCCCGAAAAAAGAACGCCTGATCGCTGGTTAAGTAAGGTAAACACTTTCGGGGGGCTTATATTTGGAGAGGCGATTTAACGATGGGTTTTTTGCGTTACCGGTTTGGGGGGCTTATTTTCGGAATTTTACGGTATTTTTTCCGATCGCCCAAAAAATAATATCTTAATAATGTTTAGTCTATGTGTAATACATGTGTTATAATGGTTTTACAATAAAGATAAATTTGTTTAAAATCAGGAGATTCGAAGATGGAAGGTGTACCCACAAAAACACTGGGTCGAGCCACCTTAATTCTCCCCGGTTTTTATTTTTATCACGCGCGCTCGGCGGACTTTTAAGAGAAAATGGACGGTCTGTGAACAGGCTAAGTATTTCCAGAACGGACCTCTGGAGCCGCGGTAGTCTCTGGTTTCTACAAAATGATTTTCTTTGTCTTTTCGGATTAAAAACTTAGCTATCTTTCGACCATAAAAAGGGCATGATCTGCCGCAGTGATTCGAATTATCATCATGGATCATGATCTGAAACTAACTGCAGTTAAAACTTCGTTGTTACTGCTAAAGCTACGGAACACTGACGACCTCGCTGACAAGGAGGTGTGGACGCTAATACTTACAAACACCTTGACGAAATTTTGGGAGGAAATTATGAGCCTTGGATAACCAATGAAATGCTTTTGCTTTGTTAAGCATCAGAACCTTGAACGGGACAGAACAATGTTTCGTTGAGGTAACGTGGTAATTTCCGTAAGATCGGTTTTGGTCGTTCTTTTTTATTTTACTTTATTTTTTAATTGGGACCAGCTGGAAACTAAAAAACAACAGAGACTGAGACTTTTATCGCTTTTAAATTTTTCTATGTTGTTTTAACATAACTATAAATTTGCGTCCAATTTGGCAAGCAAACTGGCATGATGTTTTTATAAACTGTGATAAGGTTCTTGATTGTACATCAAGGATAAATTTTTCGTCACTTTTCAATGCGGAGGAGTTCTTTCAGCCCACTAGAGTATGGAAATTACTAATAAACAATATTCTGTATTTATCACGGTTTTCTAAAGCCAATTCTGACGTTCAGCATGGCAAAAGCATAATTTCCTCCCAAAATCTCTTCGAAGTGTTTGTAACTATTAGTCAGCCCACATGTTCTTGACAGTTGTTCACAAGGTTGTTTTCAAGTTGTTGCAAAGAAGCAGCAGAAAGAAAGCTTTAACAGCTGATTTTCAACGCCATCATGGTATTTCTCCAGATGATTGCAGCAGTGAACGCTATAATCGCTATAGTTGGTATTCCTGGTAATTTACTGGTAATAATAACTATCGCATTTGAAGAGAGATTTCACATCATGCGGTATATTTTGTTGGCCAGTCTCGCACTGTCAGACTTTCTGCGTTTAATCTTTATCAACTCATTCCGCATTGCTAGTTTTGCGTACGAGAATTGGTTATACGGCGATACAATGTGCCAGCTCAATGCATTTTTAGCAAGATATTTTTACCTTAACACTGTTCTTCATCTGGTGGCGATATCTTACGAGCGATACGACGCGATCGTCAAATCACCTTTGACTTACGATGGCACAATTACCAAATGGAAAGTGTTGTTGATATTTCTCCTGTGGGCTTTTCCGTTTCTACCCCTCGTCATACTGTTTTTTCAGTTTGAGGTTTACAAGTACGACTCAGAACTGATTTTCTGTGATCTCGGACATGTCGCACAGAGTGATTCTAGTGGAGTGAAAACGTTTACGGCTGTTTTTCCCTCGGTGTTATTAGTCGGGCCATTTCTGATAATCGTCTTTTTAAACTGGTTGGTGTACAAGACAGCCAAGAATCAAGTAGAAGCCTTAGGTCACCGGCAGCCTGGAGGAATTGCTGGTTTCAACGACCCCCAAGAGCAAGAAATTCCGAGGAGGGTGAGAGAACGGAAAGCAGCTGTCGATATCAACATCATTGTTGCTGCGTTTTTGCTTTGCCTTTTTCCCAGGTATATTGTCCGCCTTTTTCGCTTGTTTTGGAAATTCGTGAAAGTTCCAGCCGAGGCAATACAGGTCTCGTCATCTGTCTTCTTAATCAGTTCGCTGTGTAACCCGATCATCTATTCTGTACGAAAAAGAGAGTTTCGACTCGGCGTGAAAAACTTGTTGAGGCGGTCTGGGCTGTGGAAATTTCAAGGGGATCACAATGATGAATTTATTGCTATGAACAATCTCAGATTCCCGCGCTGCATCCCTGACAGAAATGTCATGCATCAGGAAGCACCCTTAACACAGGGGCACCCAATGGATCTGTTCCTCAAAATATCTGTTCTTCAGGCACATTTTTGCTGGCTGGGAGATGTGGAAGAGATAATAGTCCTTGGAACGAAATAGTTGCTGGGAAAAAGATAATTCAGGGTGTCAAAGAGGATTGGAAGTCTAGAATAGCTGCTACGGGTTACTTGTATGGGTTACTTACCACTCAAGATCTGAATTGTGCCCTATGAAACTTCCCAGTAAGTCAGGTTGCAGGTTGTAAGGTTGCTGGCTGGGAACTCTTCTATCAGTCTTGCTGGGAGTGAGGAACAGATAATTTTTTTCCAGCAATCTCCCAAAATGCTTAAAATAGTCTCAGAAAACTTTATTCACGCTTTGTTGTTGTTTTTAGGTCTTTGTCTCAACATTTCCCGTTGGGTGCCCCTGTTAACAGACCACGCATGTGAAGATCAGCACAGATCCGCGATGTTTGTTTCAATGATGGAATTAACTAGACTGAAGTTTGAGAGTCGTCTCTCCCCAATTCCTGAAAATGCTGAGGAAGACCAATAAACTAATCGAAACTAAAAATGTTCCTGAATATTGAACACTGTATCTTCTGATGAGTACAGAAATAAAAGCTTTATTAACCCCCCGATAAACGAGGCTTCGGTACCCGCGGGGTACTGCCTCGCGGCTGAACAAGGTGTGGTTTTGAAAGTCTTGAGTCTTAAACAGGGTATACGATTTCATTATTTAGCGTCTTGGACATAACCGGGTGTTTCTTGAGAGGCATTCCTTAAAAAAAGTGTGAGGAGTTTTTTGTTATAGTGATACTTAAGCGGTGTACATTTGTGATGCCAACAACGTTTCGGAAAAAAATTCTAACTCCATGCCCAAGTTTGAACAAGTATTTAATTCTCTCTGTAAAGTGAAGAGAATCAGGCTCATAAAACAAGGTCTCTTGTCTTAAACAGGGTCAGAAGGCATTCAAAATGAATGCCTCGGCGGCACACCTCCACCTCCCTCAACAAAATGCAGGCTTATGCGTAGAGAAATTAAATAACAGCAATAGTGTCATTCTAAGGGCCTGTTTACATAAAGGTGGGGGACCCCAGATAGGTGAGGTAACCCGCCTGTCCATATAATCTCTGATTTTAATTTGATCACGTTGACATGATAGGTGGGGTGATCCGTCAAATGATACCTCACCTGAATCCCCACCTCCATGTAAACAGGCTGTAAGTGTTCAATCAGAAAGAGCCCCTAATAATTGTGTCGCTTACTCAAAAACATTACTAATTACATTGCCTTTTCATTACATTTAATGAGTCTGACTTTCTAATGCGTGAACGAATTTATGAAGCGAGCCATGTAAAAAAGTGAGCTGGGAAACTTTCAGTCTGTGGGTGTAAGCTAGTGCGAAATGCTTAAAAGTGACGTTTTTTTTACATTTTATACTAATTTCAAGATGAGTTTTTATTAATAAGCTGATCTGCCGACATATTACCGTTATAATGCCTTACGGGCCCGTTCCAACCGAAAAACTATTGTCGTTTACACTCAAGTTCGAGGTTTCAATAGTAAAACTAACAGAAACCAAAAAAATGTACTGGTTTCTTTGCCAGGAACTGCTCTTTTGTTCCTTAGAGTTTGATCTGAATATTTGATTTCGGGCCCGTAGAAGTTAATGGCACTCAGATCTCCCTGCCCTCGCTTTCAGAATTCTTCAGGGGTTTACGCAGGTTTCTCATGGAGAAGAATGTATGCACCGAAGACTCTTGTATTAGTGTTATCAATTTTGCCCTTTTTGATTAGTCAGACATAGTTATGTATGTTGGAATTTTAACATACAGGGGTTTTGTTTCAGGCCAGGCCCCGGACACCACGTCCGGCTGTTTGACATGTGATGTCCATTAGTTCACACAAAATATTTTACCATAAAATTCCGAAAATAAGCCCCGGGGCTTATATTTTTCAAAGGCCCTTTTTGAGGGGCTTATTTTTGGAGGGGCTTATCTATAGAGGGAAATTTTCGTCTCTAAATCGATTGGGCTAGCCTAATAGGTGGAAGTAAATTTACCGTTTTTGCTTTGTTTTACTTTGTATTTGGGGGCAATTTTCCAAGTACAAGCCCCCGGGGGGCTTATATTTGGAGGGGCGATTTAACGGAGGGTTTTTTGCGTTACCGGTTTGGGTGGCTTATTTTCGGAATTTTACGGTATTTTGAGAATTGAAAATCATTTCTTTTTTTTCATTCATTAATCAAAAAGCGCTCTAGAGGTGGTCCTCTTAGATCCAAAAGCTGAGCGCAGCCCAGAAGCATCACCAAGATTCTCACTGATAGCACTTCAGTAAACTGATTTTTTCCGACGAGTCAAATGTGCAACTCGACTGGACATTTAAATACTATCTGTCAACCACCTGTCATCACGGATTCATACACCCCTTTTGATTGGAATCCGTTTTGGAATCAACTAAAAAATGAACAACTGGAAAATGATAATTCTAATTGCCGATCACATATTTCATTTTTTGCGGTGAGCATTTTTAACTCCTTATAAGACCCTCCTGTTTAACCAATTCTGGTCCAGGGAATGCGGGAAATCGCATTTTAGAGAGTGCAGTCTTTAGTTAGTACCTCTGGGATTCAGCGTTCCCGCCTGAGGCATAAATGGTGCAAGTCCATCAGCTAAACCTCTGCATCCGGTACTTCCAAATGCTACCAAGTACCCTGAACATGATCATTAATTTTCTGTAGGCAGAAGACAGATGTGGATAAAGTGTGTACTTCAAAGGATGCAAGAGGTCAACAGCTGGCCTCCAGAGTTTTTGGAGACTGCGACATTGGTATCTCAAAACTAATGCGTCATTTGATGAGACACGATGCTTTGCACGAATGGGAGGGTCAGAGAGTCAGCCGCATGAAGGAGTATAAATCAAAGGGAACAAAGAACTGATTGGTTAAAGTAAATAAATAATTTATTAGACGATGTCATTAAAATGAATTCACATCTCCATGGTTATCTCATGGAAAATGGGTAAAACTTCTGCCAGGATCTCAGAGAGTAGGGATGTTGTGACAGTGTGTTTGTCGCACCACTTTTCACAGCGCGACTGCACTGCACGGTATCAGGTCGTTTCGCCCAATAGCAGTTCGCCCAGACTAAGTCAATTCGCCCGAAGCTTATTTGTCGTTCTTTAAGCCTGAAAAAAGGGAATAAGCATTGAAAGACAGTGACCGTACATGTGCAAACCAACGGTAACTAAA